GCTGCGCGCCCCGAGGCCCGGGGGGCAGGGGGGCAGGCGGGGAGCACGGGGCCTCCTCCGGGTCCCCGGAGTACGCGGACCCCCCTGGGTTGCCGTAGGCCCCTCCTCCCCGCTTCCCTTCCGTGTGTCCGTCCTCTCAGGACCTCCCTTCCGTCTGGGTGTGAGTCCAGCCCCCCCCTCCAGCAGGCTTCCTCCGGTTGGGCACAGGTCGAACCCCCCCCCCTCCACCTGGCCTGTCTGTCCGTGTCAGGCCCAGCCCTCCCAGCTTCCCTCGGGTGTTTTGTTTTTGTTTTCCTCTCTGCCTTCTCCCCCCCACCCCCAACCCCGATCTCTTTGTCTCTCAACTTCCCAGTTTCCTCTATGTGTGCCTGCTCCTCTCCACCTACGACGACTTCCCCTAGATTCCCTCATTTCCTCTTTCTGTAGACCCCCCCCTTCCATTTCTCCTTCTTGAGCCTCCCCTCCCCGACAGATCCCGCCTCCTGCCCACCCCTCCAACCACTCCTTTTCTGCCCCAGATCCCTCCTCCTCTCTGGGATCTGGATCTTATTTCCCCGCCTCCCTTCTCTGCCGTCCTCTCTTTGGGCCATCCCATCTCTTCCCCTTCACTGTCCTGTCACAGGTGTGCGATTCCTCCCAGGCCCTGCCCCACATTCTCAGACTGACCCTGCACTTGAACTCAGGTACCCGGGGTTTGAAATCACTAATGTCCCCAGTCATCTCTCTCTACTGTCTATACCATCTCCTACCTGTTTGTCCATAGCTCCTCTTATGTCCCTTTTTCTCTCTCTCCCTCCAGCAACCCCAGCCGGTCCCTTCTCACATCCTTAGGGACACCAGTGGACTTGGGGGCCAGCAAGCATCCCCAGAGCACCAAAAGGAGCTCCTGCTGCCGGCCCTGCCTTACCCTGCCCCACGCCAGGTCCAGCGGCCCCCGGCTGCAGCAAGTAGAGGAGGAGGAGGAGGTGGTGGAGGAGGGTGGCATCATGGGCCGGGGCCGTACCCTCCATGCCCGGGGGATGAAGACACTGCAGCCATGGACAGCCCGTGCCAGCCACAGTCCCTGAGTCAGGCTCTCCCTCAGTTGCCAGGGTCTGTGTCAGAGCCCTTAGAGCCTAGCCGAGCCAGGATGGGGGTGGAAAGTTACCTGCCCTGTCCCCTGCTACCTTCCTACCACCAAAAGGGAGCAGCTGGTGAGGTCTCGGCTGGCAGTGGGACCTCCAGAGCCACAGCCACCGTTACCACTGCCAGCCCCCTGCGGGAAGGCTTCGGTAGTCAGGATGGCGGTGAGCTGTGGCCGCTGCAGAGTGAAGGTGCAGCGGCCCTGGTCACTAAGGAGTGCCAGCGACTGGCTGCCCAGGGTGCCCGGCCTGAGGCCCCTAAACGGAAGTGGGCTGAGGATGGCGGGGATGCACCTTCACCTGCCAAGAGGCCCTGGGCCAGGCAAGAGGACCAGGAGGCAAAGGAAGAGGGTGATGTAGGCTGTGGCAGTGGCCCCAGCACTACCAGCAACAGCACTGGCAGCGTCGGTGAGGCGAGTGCCCGGCTGAGGGAGGAGACTCTACCCTGCGCTCCTGAGCGCTTGGCCCTGGACTACATTGTGCCTTGCATGCGGTACTATGGTATCTGCGTCAAGGACAACTTCTTGGGGGCAGCACTGGGGGGCCGGGTGCTGGCCGAGGTGGAGGCGCTGAAGTGGGGTGGGCGCCTGCGCGATGGGCAGCTGGTGAGCCAGCGGGCCATCTCACCGCGCAGCATTCGCGGGGACCAGATTGTCTGGGTGGAAGGCCACGAGCCAGGCTGCCGGAGCATCGGTGCCCTCATGGCCCACGTGGACGCTGTAATCCGCCACTGTGCTGGGCGGCTGGGCAACTACGTCATCAATGGGCGCACCAAGGTAAGGCTGGGTGGGAGGCTTTCACGGAGGGCCTGGGGAGCCCTTTGATTTCTTTAGTAGTCCTGGCGTGGGTGGATCGGAGGCAGGCTTCTGGGGTTCGGTTTTAGTCAGTTCCAGTGGGAACTGTGGGATCGCTGGCTTCCCTCTGGGCCTTGCTTTATGCACCTGTAAGCCGGAGGTTTAGCCTGGGGCACAGTGTTCTGAACCTTGCAGGAATCCTTTGGAAAGCCTGATTAGAGCTGGTGACACACACAGCCTCGCACCTGTGCACTGGCTGTGGCTGGTTCTTGACCCCAGGTGTCTGCACACAGCCCCTGGATAGAGGATAGTCTGTGGGGTAGTGTTTCTTCCTCTGTCCCCTGCCCCTCTCCTTTTGCCCTGTCCTCTGATCTGTTCCTGTCTGCTGGCCTCTCTTGTCCATCCTACCTCTCAGGTAGAAGACCCAGAAGGCCAAGGAGAGGGAGTTAGGGTGAGCTGGGAGAGGACGGGGGTGCTGCCTGCCATCTGAGCACTTGCCCCTGGCTACTTTGTGCTCTTGGGCCAACTGTGGCATTTGCCTCTGGGACAGCCTCTGGGGGTGACATTGTGTGTGTGCATTCGGTTCAGGCAGAGCTGTCCTAGACTGTCACTTCTTCCTCGTTCTCGCCCCCCTTTCCCCTTGTCTCTTCTTGGTCCCTTTTTCTTGTAGAATAGTAGTTTTTTTTTTTTTTATGGAGTTAGGGCCTTTTTAGGAAAACTGTTCATTGAGTTGGACTTCATAGACAATTGTCAAAGCTTCATGGGCCTCCAGCTACCATCCAGGGGCCATAACCAGGTGCTGGTGGCTCTCACCTGTAATCCTGGCTACTCACAAGGCTGAGAACTGAGGATCACAGTTCAGGGCCAGCTGGGACAGGAAAGTCTGTGAGTCTTACTCCAATTAACCACCAAAAAAGCTGAAAGTGGAGTTGTGGCTCCAGCTGTGTAGTGCTAGTCTATGCCTGTGAGGGTCCTGGCCTCCAGTCTCAGGCTTGTTGTTGGACAGGTGTGGGGGGCAGGAGTGCCCATTTCTCAGCCCCAGCGATGCCAGGCTGACAGCCCTGGCTGTGCTCTGCTCCACAAGCAGGTGTGTTCCCGGTGTGTCCTCCCTTGTCGCTCAGGTCCCATCTTAGATTGTGTCTTTGTGGCTTTCCTCTCAGGCTGGAGCCTGCTCAGAGACCAGCCTCCCCACCCCCAAGTCAGGCCTGTGTCCTCCCCACCCAGCTGGACCTCATCCCCCGCCCCTCTCCTGTTACTTGATAGCCAGCACCCACCCCTTCCCTTGGGCATGGCTCCTGTGCTGGCAAAGTCAGTGTGGCTCTCCTGGCTCAGCAGCTGTACCCCAGGGTCAGCTCCCCCCCGCCCCCCCATCCCTAAGGAGGAAGTGGGGAAACCAGAACTGCTGAGTGCCCAGGGTGGGAGGCCCTGAGCCTCCCTCACACACATAATTAGACAGCGGGGTGAAGTCCACCCCGCTGTGTGTGTGTGTGTGTGTGTGTGTGTGTGTGTGTGTGTGTGTACTCTTGGCACCTTGTCCCTAATAGTATAACTCTTCAGTGTCTTTGCTGATCCCACCTGCCCACTCTGAGCCGTTTCTGGGCTGTGGCTGAGGTTTTTGCTTGGGGGTGGGGTGCTGTCAGCAGGCAGAAAGTGTACTGGGCACTGGGCAGGGGAGCTTGACCCCAGGGGCTTCCCTAGGGATATTTTTCAGACTAGCCTAATGTTGAGAGCTGTGGAGTACTTAAGGTGGCACGTGACCTGAGTGGCAAGGAGACCGGGGGAAGGGACCACTGGTGGAGTTCAGGCCTGGGGTGGGGATGAAGTAGATACCATGACTGAGCACAGGGAAGGCCGTAGCATGTGAGGCTGGGGATGCTGGGGTGCAATGTAGGGAAAGATTCTAGGTGGAAGAGTCCAGTACTACCCTCAGACTGCATTCCCAGGTGGGGGGGCCTTGCCATCTCATCAGTGACTCAATGATCCCAGCAACTAGGCTGAGGCCCCACCTGGGGTGGAAGGGGGTGGGGGGCTTCTCAGGACCACTTTTGTCTTTAGGGAGCTAAGCTGTGCAAGGTGGGCTCTCCCTCCTGATTCTCGTGGTCAGGCCCAGGGCTTGCTTTCTCTGGGGGCTTCTCCCTGTATCCTGGGGCAGGCAGAGAGCAGGTTGGGCTCTCTACTGCCTTAGGTAGTGGAGTAGATGCCCACAGCTAAGCCTGAGAGTGAACCCTAGGACTCTCCTTCACACCCCGGCCACCTTCCTCTTAGCTCCTGGGTGAGTGGGGTCAGGAGAGTGCAGGAACTCTAGCCAGATGGATGCATGCAGCAGCCCACACTGGGAGGCTAGACTGTTAGGTGTGCGGTGATCTGGAACCTTCTCTGTGCTCTCAGGGCTGAATGCTCCTGCTGAAATAAGGTACCCTAAGGTTGCTTTACAGCTGGGGTAGGTGAGGCGGGTTGAAGCGAGATGCCCAGCATCACGCAGAGTGTTTGGAGTGGGAGCTTGAGGATGAGACCGATGTGTGTGGATGTGTATTAGCCAGGTTCTTGTAGGCAAGGGCACAGGTTCTCCACATCGCAGCACCTTAGAACTTACCTGGGGGTCCTTTAAGGAAAGAACTCAGGGCCCACCTTAAGTCAAGCCTGGCAGCCTCTGTGGTGAGGCTGGCCTCCTCAATGCAAAGCTGCCTAGGAGACTCCACTCTGCGGCAGCCAAGGGTGAGGGCTCAGGCCAGGTGCCTGTCCACCTGGAAAAACTGAAGTTGGGTTTTGCTTCACTGAGGTGTAGGATGAGGAAAATTTAAAAACAAAAACCAAACGGTTACTCATTGAGCCCCTCTGTGTCCTGGGTGGCTGTGGAAACTTCTGATGAACCTGGGTGGGGGTAGAGTCTTGGTTGGAATTGGGCCCCAGATGAGGAAGGACTCCTGGAAGAGGAGGGGGCGGGAAGGTCCCGGCCTGGCCTCAGCACACCACTTCCCTGTCTCCGCCAGGCTATGGTGGCCTGTTACCCAGGCAACGGGCTGGGGTACGTGAGGCACGTTGACAATCCCCACGGCGACGGGCGCTGCGTCACCTGCATCTATTACCTGAATCAGAACTGGGATGTCAAGGTAGAGGGGGGTGGCGGGCGTCCTTTCCATTCCAGCCTGCATGGGACAGCGCAGGCTCTTCCTGGAGAATGGCACCTCCTTTCCAGCCCACTGCGGGGGGACCTCCCCGCTTTCCGGGAATGGTGCTGCTGGCCCAGCCCCACCCGGCTGCCTTGTACATTCTCCCCCTTTTCCTGTCTTTAGTAGCTTCCTGCCCATTGCCATGGCGATGGGGACTCTGGGCTGTCATTCATTCTAAGAGCCCAGGCGGGGGGCGGGGTAGGGGAGGCACTCCCCCTAGTGGGCGTGCAGGCACAGTGCATGGCAGAGGCGCTGGGCAGGCTCAGCTAGCCGCTGCCTCTGGCCTGCCTGCAGGTGCACGGTGGCCTGCTGCAGATCTTCCCCGAAGGCCGGCCTGTGGTAGCCAACATCGAGCCGCTCTTTGACCGGTTGCTCATTTTTTGGTCTGACCGACGGAACCCCCACGAGGTGAAGCCAGCCTACGCCACCAGGTATGACCTGTGTTTCTAGGAACATGCACGCATCTCAGAACCCTGGAGAGGAGAGTGGGCTGAGATGCTGAGCCAAGGTCTGGGGGAACACAGCCAAATGCCCTAAAATGACTTGATTGCCCTTGTGTGGTGTCGGGAATGCAGAACGCTGATTGCACCTATGATTTCTGTTCACAGGTACGCCATCACTGTCTGGTATTTTGATGCCAAGGAGCGGGCAGCAGCCAAAGACAAGTATCAGCTAGGTACCTGCTTCCCCAACCCTCTTTGCAGTTGTCTAGCTCCCCAAACTCCCTGTGCCTATACCCTGCAGGCCTCTGCATGTGTACCCAGGGTCTTGCACACTCTACAGAAGTACTCTACCACTTGAGCTATATGCCCTTTCTCAGTCTTCCCTCTCCCTTATGGTACTGGGGTGTGAACTCTGGGCCTCCTACGTTGTAGGCAGGCATTCTGTCACTTAGGGTCTCTTGTCCAGGGCTGGCCTTGGGCTTGAGTTCTCCTACCTGTGCTTCATAGTGGGTGGGATTATAGGCGTGAGCCACCCTGTGCATGATGTATGTGTTGAAATGGAGGTCTTGTTAACCATTTGCTTGAGCTGGTCTCCAGGTACAATCCTCCTGCTCTCTGCCTCCCAAGTAACTGGTATTATAGGCAAGCAGCACCATGTTCAATCTTACTTAGCCTCTTCCTTGAGTCTTGACTCCATGTAGTTCTTTCTCATCTCCCCCCTACCCCCCACAGCCAGCCCAGTTTCCTTTTGTCCCCATCAACAGCTTCATTTCTTGTCCCTTGGCCTCTTTGCGCCATTTCTAGTGACTCATGGTCTCCTGTCCCCTCCTCTCCCCGCTCAGCATCAGGACAGAAAGGTGTTCAAGTACCTGTTTCACAGCCGGCTACCCCTACTTAGTGGTCAGCCCTAGCGCTGCCTGGACGGACAGCTCGCCTGCCTGCCCAACTTCAGGAGAGCCTCGGGCCTGGCGGCAGCCCACCAAGCCTCAGTGCCCTCTACTCCCCTGCCACCGCTGCTGCTTCTGGCTTGCCTCTGTCCTTCCTGGCGTGGAGGACTGCATGGCCGAGGACCAAGGAGGATGAGCCTGTGGCTGCCCCAGGTGGGGGCAGGGCGGGGGCAGTTGTTGGGGTGAAGCAGAGGGTCTGTGTGTCCTGCCCGGTCTGGCCGTTTCTCCGCTGGGTGTGGAGAGGCAGGAGGCGCGATTTGGGGTTGAGGTGAGTCACAGCCTCTTGCTGGTGAGGGTTTGTTGGGGGGGACCTTCTCCAGTCTCCCCACTCCCCCAGCCTGGAATGTGAAGTGACTCCCCAACCCCCCCCCCCGCCATGGCACCGTTCGGACTGGGCTGCCACCTGCTCGGGCAGGGCGACGGTGCCAGCAGGAGCATGGGTTTGAAAGTCCTGCCAGCCAAGAAATAAAGTTTACCTCAGAACTGCACGTGTGACTCCCTCCATGAGTACAGGACTTCATTGACAAAAAGGGGCAGGAGGTCGGAGGGCCCGGGAGGCTGGGCAGGTGGAGCCTTGCCCCAGGCGCTGTCAGCCGAAGCTGGAATTGCATTGTGGGGTGAGGTGAATGGAAGCACTGTAGGATGGCCGGAAGGAAGAGGAAGCTCTGAGCACCTATCTCTCTGGGGATATGGGTGCAAGGTGAGTACCACTGTGCCCCGGGGCTACCCACACCCAGGGCAAAAATGCTGGAGGGCCTTATCTGGGACTTTCCAGATTGGTGGGCCTAAAATGGAAGTGGTTGATTCTGGGACTGGGCAGGATGCTGGTGGGCAGACAGGGGAGGAGGAGGAAGCGAGTGCTGTGTTCAGTGAGGGTGCCATCCAAGACTTAGTTTTGCAATGCTAGGGTCAGCTTTGCACAGCACCACTGAGCACCGTCCTCAGATTATACAGCCCAGACTGGCCTCAAATTCTCATCCTCCCATCTCGGCCTCCAGAACTGGGATTATAGGTGAGGGCCACCACTACTGGCGCAAGACCTTTCCCAAATCCAGGCCCTTGTGTGGGCTGTACAGGTGTGTACTGTGCTGCATCCCTCAGACCCCATAACCTGGGGCTTGAATTCAGGACCTGGGTGCTGTTCCTGAGCTCTTTTGCTCAATGCTAGTCTTCTATAACGTGAGCCACAACTACATTTGTGGTTTTTCTAGAGGCTAAGTGGAGATAGGAGTTTCATGGACTTTCATGCCTGGGCTGGCTTTGAACTGTGATCCTTAGATCTCAGCCTCCTGGGTAGCTAGGATTACAGGTGTGAGCCACTAGCACTCAGCCCCATGACTTTTTTTTTTTTGGTCGGTTGTGGGGCTTGAACTCTGGGCCTAGGCACTGTCCCTCAGCTCTTCAGCTCAAGGCTAGCACTCTACCACTTGAGCCACAGCACAACTTCTGGCTTTTTTTTTTGCTTATGGGTGCTGAGGAATCGAACCCAGGGCCTCAAGCATGCAAGGCAAGCGCTTTACCACTGAGCCACCTTCCCAGCCCCTCCCCATGACTTTTAAAGAGGCAGTGGGAGATGTTAGGCTGTGGAAGATATTTTCTGTTTCTGGGATTGCTAGATCACATCAGTCTTACTGTTGGAGCTCCAGTCCCCAGTTGGGCACAGAACCCCAAAATCCTAGCTTGTCATCAGCATGCACAGCTGCCAGCTCTGGGCACTTGGGGTTGAGTAAGGAGCCACTGCACCAGCTGGTGCCACCTGAGAACATTGTGATTCACATTCTGGGCCCCTCCTACAGCGCAATGGCATCTGCTGGGCACAGGTGTGGGGACTCGACGCTTTTGAAAGCTTTGAAAGGTGCGGTGGTGCAGGCAAGAGCCAGAGGAGGGAGGGGGAGTCTCACATCTGGGTTGATGCTTGTAGGTTGTTGCTCAGGATCATGAGCCACAAGTTGCTTGGGGGGGGGGGGGGGGGGAAGCAACTGAGATAAGTCCATGTGGGTGTGTTCATCCTGAGTCTTGAACTTAGGACCCTGTTTGTAAGATTTTTTTTTTGATCAAGGCTGGTGCTTTCCATTTGTGTCACACTTTTACTAATGACTTTTTGGTATTTCATTGGAGATAAGACTCATGGACTTTCCTACCTGGGCTGCCTTTAAAACCTGATCCTCAGATCTCAGCCTTCTGAGTATCTGGTTCATTTTCTTAATGACAGTTACTGACCATTGACAGGCAACACACGTGTCATTTTGTTTTTCTGTTCTCCATCTTTAATTCGGCCAAGACAGGTTAGAACCTATTAGAAAGATAAATTGATTGGAAATGATACGGAAATTCCAGGAAAGAGTAACAGAACACATCGTGCAGGTCCAGGGCACAGGAGACGCATTTCCATCCCCCGGTATTTCTGAACCCAGTGGATAAATGTACAGGATAAATTGAACAGGACAAATATAGGATGATGGGAAGGGTACATGACAACCAGACAGGAAGGGACAGTGGAGGAGGATGGAACATTCCCTAGACACCTGCCACCAAGCTCCCAGGCCAGGCTTCCAGGTGTGGGGGTGTCAGCACGGGAGCACCTGCAACTTGAAAGGCCTGGGCACTTTGCCCAGCCCAGAGCTGAGTGGGGTCAGGTCGATGTCCTCGGGCGCCCCCAGCGGCTGCAAGGTGAAACGCTGCAGGATGGCAGTGAAGTAGAGGAAGCATTGCATTCTGGCCATTGACTCCCCTGGCACAGCCTGCATCCTGCAGGGGGGCAGAGGGGAGGGCCAGGAGGAGTTAAAGTGACTCAAGGGGGTTGAGAGACTGCAGCTTGCCCCCCAAAACTCTCAGGGAAAATCCTGAGGTAGAAAGATGCTTGGAGAAAATGGAGCAAATGCAAATTCAAACAGCTGTCCCAGGTTCAAATATTGGTAGTGTCAGAGCTAACTTTTGTGTTCTTGGAAAAGGCACAATTTCTGGGCTGTGTGTGTGTGTGTGTGTGTGTGTGTGTGCGTGTGCTGGGACTAGGGCTTGAACTCAGCTCCAGAGTGTAGTCAAGGCTGGCTCTCTACTACTTGAACAACAGCTCTTCCTCTAGCTTTTCTGATGGCTAATTACAGTTAAGAGCCTGATGGACTTTCCTGTCCTAGCTGGCTTCAAACCACAATCCTCCAGATCTCAGCCTCCAAAGTACAAGTGTGAGCCACTAGGACCTAACTTATCTGCATTTTATGGGTGTGGGAGTTGAGGCTCAGAGAAGGGAAGTAACAAATCCAAGGGCTACACAGGACAGAAGTGAGGTGCAAACCCTCTGGGTGACCAGCTGTGAGCCTAGCTCTTAGTCACTTCCCTGGTAATCCCTCGCAAGCAGCAACTGGCACACACTAGTCAATATGGTCATTTATGATTTTTCTTCATACAAAGTAAATGGGAATTTTCCCGCTAAAGGCAGAATTGAACCAAAACAAAGCACCAAAGCTGGCAGTACTTCAATTGCGCCACCTAGTGGCAGAGATTTTAAGTTACTTTAGAGTTAGAGAGTTATCTTACCTGCATTCAAGGATAAATAAGCATGGGGTGGGATGGAAAAGCAAGGGAGATACCGAGTTAAATTAGAACTAGGGCTGTAGTTACTCAGCAAAATGAGATCTGAGGATCCTGTTTCAAAGGCAGCCAATGCAGGAAACTGCATGAAATGCTCATCTCCAATTAACCAGCAAAAAGCTGAAAGTGGAGCTATGACTCAAATGCTAAAGTGCCAGCTTTGAGGGAAAAACCCAGTGAGAACACAAGTCCTTGAGTTCAAACCACAGTTACTGGCACAAATACTACCACTACCATACCACCACCACCACCAACAACAACAAAGAAGCAAAACCCTAAGGCTTGGAAGACTGACTCATGTGTCTCACCAGCTAAGAAGGGCATGAAGGCTGGACTCTTCTTGAAGGACTGATTGGCATCTAGGTTTGCTTAGGATTGAACTCGAGGGGTGTCTTGAACTGGCTGGGGTCATAGTGCACGGTGTTAAGGAGGGTGATGATGTCTGTGTCCTGTACAGACCAGAAGGGGTCAGTGTTGTGCAAGCTGACATTTCCACTTTACAGACCTGGAATTCCTGGGGAGTTGTAAAGGAGGTGAGGGTAGGGCACTGGACTCCATCTTCATCTGGGGTTCCCAGTGATGCTGGTGTGTGTGGTGGTGTCTGAGGAAGGAATGGGGCCTTCACCCCTCTGCCTTGTGTAAGCAGCTGTTCGATTCCTGGGAAGGGGAGAATTGAGGATAGAGTTTTGGGCCACTAGGATTAAGTCCCAAACCCTGTGGATTGGAAAGATGAGCTCCAAGAAGGAGGTCTAGGGCAGGAAAGGGGTGTGCGATTAAGGACAGGCCCCAGTGCACTCGGGTGTGAGATGGGGTCCTGGGAAGAGGCTGCAGTTGTAGATTTAAGGCTCTCAGAGCTGCAATGCTAGGGCTTGGGATGCTTCCTTGCTAAGGCCTTAGGGCACTGGTGGCCATGTCCTAGGGAGCCCACGGCCAGCTGTAAGCGCGGGACGTCGTGGGCCAGGTGCCTAGCACACCTTGGGTATCAGGAAGCCGCGGAAGGCCGTGTCCTTGATGACGCGGTGCGGCAGGTTCATGGGGATGACGTCAGCGAAGCACCGCCCCTCGTGGATCACGGCGTCGGCGTAGGGCGTGGCCGCGCGGTCCTCCAGCGTGGGCTGTCGCGAGCGTCGATCTCTTCCTGCACGCGGGCTGGAGGCAGAGGAGGGAAGGCGGGGAGGGGCTGGGTGGGGCTCTGGGGGTGGGACTTCCGGCTGCTGCTGGGATGCTGGGCGGGGCTTCCAGGACCTGGCTGGTTGGCTGATGGGTACCGTGGTTGGGTGGAACATGCATGCGCATGCGCTGGGGGGGGGCAGGAAAGAAACTTGGGGATCCACCCAGAGGCTGGGCTTAGGAAGGGGGTGGGTCACAGACAGGGCTTTGTGGATGGGTAATACACGGAGGG